TCAAGTCCAAAAGTTTTTTGCCGACAATCATAAAACTTGTAAAATATACAAATATATTCATTTGTAGTGCCAAATATCATATTAACTGGCATTATTTAAGTCCTTTACACGATACAAGCACGATATGGTGCATATCTTAATTTATAAAAGCATAGAATTTCATCAATTTCATATTTCAGTAACTTTTGTCTAGGACTGTATAGCCAGAACATCCTTAAAAAGAATTAATCTCTCATAAAAATTTATAACTTGAATTTATAATATTACTAGAAATTATAATATAATATTACCTTCCATACATTCATTAATGCTTTCATAATCAGAATACGTTCTTGTTTCAGGTCTGACACCAGGCTGTACTAACAGTATTATATAAGACTAAAATCAAATAAAATAAAATAAAATAATGTAAATTTAATATACAGTATTAATTATGAATTGTGTACAAATATTAAATGATTAAATGTTTTCAATGTCATGTTATAGTTATATAAAAAATGATAAAAAAATAAAAAATTAATTCTTGTAAAATTATAAAGATATTAAAATTTACTGTAAACAATTATAATTAATACAATAATATAAATGGCTATATCTTATTTTCTTATCTATACTGTAAATCTAATTATAATAAACATCTGTGTTATAACTATAGTTATATAATTGTAAGTCGAAATAAATTTATTTTATTCATAAAAGATTATCACTGTTAATATATTATATAGACTTTGTTATATTTCATAAATATTCAGTTATATGTATGATATCAAATAATTCAATAATTCATTTTTCTTTTTTAAATTTAAATAAAAATCAAGATATAAATTTCAAAATAGGCATATTATTCTCTCAAATTTTGTTCAGATTGATATAAATAACTGATTTATAGAAGTATTCTTAAATATTAACATTCTTGCAAAATCATTTTAAACATTTTTCATAAGTTTATTAAAATTTACCATGTTTATGTATTTTGTTCATCGTTTAATAGCAAACAAATCACAATCTATTTATAAATAAATATAAGAAATTTTACTAACAACTCGGAATTGATAAATTTTGAATTTCATTAATGTTAAGAGTCCATAATATAATACAAGATGCAAAAAGATTTTGTATAATGACAATATCATTCTTGGCAATGACAAAATTGTATATAATAACAAAAAAGATACATAAGTGTATAATAAAGTTGATTTTCAAAGATAAACATACAATGAAAGATTCATCAAACAAAAAACGATTCTGCTTACCATTTTTATTTAGGCGTTATTAGCGAAGTATTGATTATAGAATGATTACTCAGCAATTTTCGGAGACAGTACACCAGATAATATGGAATAATATTCCTTTTGTAGGATTTGAAAGCTTAAAAAAAAGAAATATATCGGAACGTGCAAATTACAACGTTATACGGATTCT